CGCGGCTCGGCAGGCGGGACTTCCGGCTCGCCTGTTCCCCGGCAACCGCTTGAGCAGCCGCGCTTCCGGCCGGGGATCGCGGGGCGGGGCTGTGGCATCCGGGCACGGAGTCACCTGCCGGCTGTGAAGCTGCCTGCAGCGCTCTCGGGGCACTCGAAGCCGCTCCACAGACTTCGCCGCCCTGGAAGGTGTTCCCATCCGTCTGTCCCCATCCCGCTGCCGGGCACTATCTCGCCGGCGGCCCCGGGAGGCAGCGGTGCGCGTTCATTGGCTGATGCGCCCGTCCCCTCGGCGCTGACTGGCGCGGCGTTTCGTCAGTCCGGCGCTCGGCCAGTGCAGCGCTGAATGCGCGGGCGGGGCGGCCGGTGAGAGTGCGTGAGGGGTGGTGTTTTCGAGCACTGAGGGCTGCTCGCCATGGCTGGCGTGGATTTGTTTTCGCATCCCGCGCTGTACACGCGCTACCGGGCTGGGCTCTGCTCCGCCGCTGCACTGGCGCTGTTGCTCATCACGACGCTCACCTACGTGCCGCCGCTGCTGGTGGCCTACCGGAGCCACGGTGAGCGCCACTGGACCCCACGCGCCCCGGCCGGTCCCGGCGCAGTCCTGAAACCTCGTGCTGTTTCTGCCCTCAGGTTTCTGGCTGAAGCAAAGCGCGTACCTGGAGCAGCCCACTGTTCGTTTCCGGTACGAGGTTCTCTTCGTCGCCACCATGGGGTCCGGCCCAGGTAGTTTCTTGGCGTGGAGCACATTCCCAGCGTTCAACAGGCTCCAGGAGGACCGGCTCCGAGTCCCGCTCCTGTCGGTAGGCCTGCCCGGCAACAGTGGCGAGACGCGAGGCTGCAGAGTTGTGGCCAGCGGACCGGCAGCCTGCTCCAGGGCACGGGCGCTGATGGCGCTTTTGAGCGGGTGGCCCGTCAGGTACTGCTGCCTTCAGGTAGCAGCAGGTTTATGTATAAACTTGTGCCTCACATCGGGATTTGCCGGATTTTTAATCAGTCCCGTTTCACTCCCTCTCAGTGTTACTGACTCATAGCATTACTTAGATTGGAAAAAGCCCGTCAGACCAAGTCCAGTCATTAACCAAACCCGACCAATTTTGCCACTGAATCATGTCCATAAATACCATTGGTCGTTTGTGTGAATGCACCCATTTACTTTCATCAAATTAGTTGTGCCCCTCTCCCCTGGCCACATGGCATATCATGATGGGAAGTTTGCAGGGTACCCCTAGATCTGGAAGCAGATATGTGCCTTCAGAAGCACATAATTTATGTCTTGCCGTCACTCTTCTTTCTGAGATTACACAGTGGCAGTTATTTTTCTGTCTGCCTCTATTATGAGCCCTGCTATATTTGCAAGTAGCTGAAGTACTGGACATTCTGGTACACAAGCATAAGCAAGCCTTGGCTCATAGCAAGGTATCAGCTAACAGACAATTTAAGAGGCATGCTGCAGTGCCAGGAGGCGCAAGCCTGACCATCAGTCATATATTTGCACTGTCTTACAGAAGAGCACTAAGGCATGCTTTGTGGCATGCAGGGGAGACGGTTGTAATGGTGTACAGCAGAAAAGACCTTGAAGTAAACTTTCCCTCCCTGGAGGGGTATATGAGACATTGTATAACAGACAACAGTGTAGGCTTCTTGTTTGTCTCTAGTCCTGTCTATAAATAGTCAAGTCGTTTTTTATTGCATTCCTGACTACGCAGTTTATTTGCTTCCCTGGTATGTGTGTGCTGCAGTTATGGAGGTCCTCTGGGGTTTTACTTTTCTTGTTTTTCTTTCTAACAGAAATTCCTGTCTTTAAAAAAAAATTTGTTTAGACTAGAGAAGAAGACAAAAATCAAGATGGCAAAATGGATCAGTTGCATTTTAAATTGGAACTTCCACTACAACCAGCAGAGCATGTAGTTGGCGTTCAGTTGATTCTCCTCTTTTCCTACCACCTTTATGTGAGCATTTTTAGTTTTGTTTGTTGTGATGTATAGACCTGTTGTAGTATTCCAGTAGTGTTTATAGTAAATATGAAAAGAAACTTTCCACATTTGAAACTCCTATCTAAAATATGTATTTTACTGAAAAATACTTAATTTTCTCTTCCTCTGCTCTGTCATTCCTCGTCTAGCTGTCTTGCGTATTTTGATACACTTTGTTAGGAATTTTCTTTTTATTTTTAAGCTCTATGTTCTCTTGGGCTGTAGTGCACCATACCGAACAGAAATGCACAACAGTGAGTATCAGTTTGGGTGGCACCTGGAAATAACTGAGAGTCTTGCAATAGGCAGAAGGATGTGCATTCCTATACACTGCTGTGTCTTGACATAATTAGTTCATTTTCTTATGTGGACAGTCAGCCTGTTGCAGCAACCTAAAACTCCTTAGATTTTGCTTAACAGCTCTTGAAGCATGGGTAATCATCTGCCAGGATCTTCTGTATCTTGTAACTGGAACAAGGAAGAAAGTGTTACAGGAAGACAAGACAATACAATTCCACTGCCATTGTACCTCAAGTGGCAGTGCAATTAATATCTAAAGCAAAGAGTAAAAGACCAGCGCACAGAGAACCCAGCGATACATCTGAAAGGAGTAATAATATAGAGCTGTGTTGGGTGCAGCCACGCAGACAAGAAGTCGTTTTCCTAGGGAGATTAGGCTGTTTCTTTAGAGAGTCTTGCTGATTGCAGATGGACAAGCTTAGCAAGCATAGCTATGTGGTGTAGAAAACATTCTTAAGCCTGAGGCCTAGAATAAAGGCCCAACGGTCCTAAATTTGGGATGAAGTATTTGGTCAGGTATTAGTATAACAGAGTTATAATATTCACCACACTTTTTATTCCACACTGTAAATGTGTAAATTTTCCTTCAGACTGAGTGGTTGATAAGAACCTACCTTCTTTATTTCATTCTTGTTGCAGAGTGCAAGTCCTTGATTTTGACTTGAGTTTTTTAAAGTGTATCTCCAATGAATGTGTTTAGTCACCTTGCTGCTTTTTACATGTTACAGCTAGTCAAACCTTTCTGTCATAAGCCACAGATGTTGGACTTCACTGAATTTCCTGTGGAACTTTGTTGAGTTAATAAAGTTAGTTAACTATTAACTAAGGTAGTTCACTTTTTTAAAAAGAAGGTATTTTTTTCTTTGGTGTTCCCTTGTTTGGACTAAGGTGATGACCTGAAACTTGGGAGTCATAGAAGAATCAAATCCATGTAAAAAAAATTGTAGATACCAAGAGGTAGAAAAGTGTCTAGTGTCCCCCCTCCTCCTCCTAAATTTTCCTTTTTTGTGTTCACTATTTCAGAGAATGTCAACATTTGTGATGCAGAGCATGGCTTTTCTTCAGTTTTTTTCTCCTGTGCCAGGCTCTCAGCTTTATGTGAATGGAGATTTGAAATTAAACCAGAGGCAATTACTTAACCATTGTGGACTGGATACCAGATACAATGTGAGGAAATGTTTTTCCCTTCCCCATCAATTCACCCCTCCAACCTCTTAATCCTTCTAGCATCATAGGTGACACCCTCATTATTTGTACTACGGCACAGAGTGAGCTGTAAGACTTTGGAACTGATGTTTTCTTGTTAGACTGCAAGAGGGAAGAGGTTATTCTGCTTAGATGTTCAGTCTGATGTTTATGTTCATTCCTTGAAAGGCATGGTTACTTTGTGTAAGAAAGTTAGTAGAATTATTGTCTTGAAGACTAGACAAATAATTAAAGTGTCTCCTTGTTGTAACAGGTGTCTGTGGTCAATGGCACAAGTCCTTTTGCAAGTGACTATGATCTAACAAACATCATTGCAGCATATTGGGATAGAAATGGTAAGCCTGAATGTGTATCTATGGGACAGTAGTAGTTAGCATAATGACAGCTGTTTTGTGAAGTGTAGAACTTCTGTATTAATACCTAAAAAGCCCCTTAACCTGGATGTATCCTTTCTCCATTTTAGTGACAACAGTGTTTTCAGATCCCAGCCCTGTTTGGATGACTGGAAGAGCGATGGATATGCCATTTATCATTAATGCCACCATTCACTACCCAGTAGAAGTTATCTTATATCCTTCAAACACTGCACATACTGTGACATATCATGGTTATATTATTTCAGCCCCCACCACATACAGGAAAAATGAAAACTGTTTTCTCCTAGATGTGTTGCTAATGTTTTTTTTTTTTGTTGTTTTTTGTTTGTTTGTTTGTTTGTTTTTTAGCTATGCAAATGCTACAGTTGTGGAGTTAATGAAATACCCATTTGTCCATTCCTTCAGATGGTTGTGCTTGCATAACCACTTTTTGCCTTTCTTTATTGGGAACCTGTGTTGCTTTTCAGCTTTGCTAAAAAGGCCTTTAAGCAGTTTGTTAGCTATTCTCAGGGAATATTTGTAGTACATCTTGCTTTGGTTCTGCAGTACCTGCTGTCCTGATCTGTGTCACAGATGCCACTTGCAAAGCATGATACTGTAGTCTGTGACCTAAAACAAATAATTAGAAATCTGTATGCAAGATCATCTCACCAAATAACTCCCGCAGCTGGAGGTTGTTACATCTGTTCATGTGCAGACAGACCAGAATTTTTTAATTTTTTTAATAAAATAATTCTTTGTTCATTATGTTCTTCACTCTTTTTCTTAGACAAGAACAAATCTGCATTTAGAAGAATCTGTATGGAGCGCACTTCTTACAAGATTTGTTTACTTGCCTGAATATTAACAATAAGTACTTTCTGGTGACTCAGACACAAAGTAGGTTCTTTACCCAGACTTGGTTTAAATATCTTCTAGGACAGACCATGTCCCCAGCTTTTGCTACCCACCATGGTAGAAGGCTCTTAGGTGTTTCTGTGGTTCAGAAGCTTACCATTTGTGGCACAAACTCATGTCTTAACAAGATTTGTGCCTTTCTGCCTATGATTTTCTTTGTTTAGATATTGCAGTGATAGCATCAGAAGCTTGTTTATTAACTCTCCTTGACTTTCTTTAAATATCAGCCAGGATTTTGGGAAATTATTAAATTTGCCTGGATCCAGTATGTCAGCATCCTCCTTATCTTTCTTTGGGTGTTCGGTAGGATTAAGATGTTTTTGTTCCAGAATCAGGTGTTGACTACAATTCCAGTATCACCACTTCTGCCTGTATCTCCAGTACTATCCTACAAACAGCACCAGTCCTGAAGAGATGCCTGAGAACACGTTATAGAAATGCCAAAAATAGTAACCCAGTTTTATTCTCTATATACTTCTTACTTCAGAAGATCAGAATTTTGTATGTTCCAAGTATGCTCTGTTCATGCTTCCTTTTGAAAATACATGTTCATTCATCTGATTTCTTTAGGAACACTGCTTTGGAACTGAAAAATTTTATATTTTTGACAGTTAAAGAAGAGCCTAGTTATTTTTTTTGCAACTGGAACGCACATCAAAACCCATCTTGAAAACTGAAAATAGTATGCTAAAATTAACAACATTACAACATTAACTGTTTCTACTTCTTGTAAATCAATTCACTGTAGTCTTAGAGTTGTGAAGAGTTATTTGTACATGCATTTATGTGCACTATGAAATGAAAAAATGCATGGATGAGTTAAGGTCAGAGTGTTTCTGTAACTGTGGCTATACATACTCAACAATTTAATTATTAAATTGTATGATGAATAAATTCAAGGTTGATGTGAGAAACCAGGGTTTGGGTGATAGTGTGTGCAAAATTTGCACAACCATTTACTGTTTGCATCATTATTGTAGCACCAGACCATTAGTTGTGAATTGTGAATAGTAAAACAGAGAATCCTTGTATCGATTGAAAGAAAGCTAGCAAAAAATTCTACCAGTGAAGCCTCAGAGTTTCAAAGTAAGTGAATAATTACCTTCAGAACTTAAATAGTTTAGAACAGATAAAAATTATAATTACCTGGTAAACACTGAAAAACTGTCCTTCATTCTTGATGGTGGTGGTCGTAGGGAAGATTATTTTATCTTCTTTTTCTGGGCTTACTTTTTATGCCAGACAAGCTTACAAGACAAAACAACAAAATTTCCATTATGTTTTCAATTTTGTATTGAAGAATTATTTCTAGCAACACAGTGTTATATCAGGACAGAATTTAAAACAATTCTAGATGCTAGAATTCTGCAAAAAATTCCAAGTGTCTTTGGTTCTCTTGAACTCTTAAGACATGGTGCATCTATGAAATATGAAAGAGCAGCTTAGCAGTAGGCCACCTTTTGGCCATTGTCCTCTAGAATTCGACATCCTAGCAGCTGGGAGAGCTACCTTTTCCAGAAGTCTCCAGTTTGCACTTGGATCTTTGAATCTCTGTGGCAGCGTACGGCTGCTGATAAATGGCTTCATGTTTGCATCCTCAGAGTCAAAGCAACTGTCTACTGCTTTTTAGTGCTTCTAGCCACTGCACAGCTTGAATGAAGGGGGCTGTGAGCTTGTTTTCCCCGTATCTCAAGCTGATGTACATTTGGTATGCTCTCCCTTGGCAGCAGTAATGATGCTTGCATGAGTGCATGCATTTATTCGGGGAGTTCATTATTGATGAAGATGATCTTTACCAAATATATAATCACTTTTTCAGACAAGTCAGTTCCTGGACTGAACTTGGTATGTGTCTGCACAAGCATTAAGGTGGCCATAAGCAACGGGTAGAAATCTCTAAAGAGATCACAGGACCGCAGTTTAAGGGTTTGAATGTTCTACTCCCACAAAAATTGAATCTCTGAGAGTCTTCCTCCAAGCTGAACAGAAGTCTTTTTAAGGTAGCAACAGAAATATGGAAGAGACTAATGCTTGAAAGCCACAGTACTGGGAGACTCCATTAATGCATTAATCCCTCTCTAAGTTTTCTCTCCTGCAGTAGCCTTTAAGTTAGAACAAGTGATGCTACTCAGAGCAACAGTTCAGTGAATGCATGTGGAATAAGAAATGGAGATTAGGTCTACTTCCAGAAATACAGAGAAAAATATCCTTAACGTTCTCTTTTCCTTTAGTTGGAGAAAACTTAAAAAATCCTCCACAGTAATGTAAGCAAAGGATGATATACACTAGAAGGAGGTAATCAAAAAAGTTATTTACTTGCAGGTGGCATGTAATTGTTTAATATGACCTGAAGGCATCCCTCCATTTTTTTTCAAAGAGGTGTTTCATGACTGGGACTAATAACTCAGTGCAGGGTAAAAGGAGCCATAAAGGCAGATGTTACCACGTCAGGGGAAAAACCCCTGTGATACCTCTGCTGTGGTCACTTCCTGGGTCACTTTTTATACTCACCATAGTTCTTGGTTCATAGTTCTAGTTCGTTTCTCAAACTTGAAGAGATTTTATACTTTTGTAGGTAACCAAGCAATAGAAATAAGGCAAGATTTTATAGCTTAAGCAACAAACTGAACTACCCGGGAAAAATACATACCTTAAGATCCATTGCAAATCAGCATTAAGAGGTGTAGGAAGGAAGAGCCTTTCTCAGAAAGCTGTCTGCAAGGACTCTTCCTTTAGCTTGCTAAGAAACTTAAGAAGTTAAACTTTCGGTTTTGATTTGGTTTTGTTTTGTTCTGTTTTATTGGATGTTTCTGTTTAAATGGGTGTTAGGGCCCTGTAAGAGTCATGCTTCAGAAGTCTTTTAAGAGGTGGAACTAGGATAAAGGAAACCACCTCGTTGCTTGTTAACTCACCAAGCAGCCCGTTTGCAAGGGGCATTATCCGCTCATTCTACTCGCATGAGGCGAGCAGGACGCGGCTGCGCCGAGCTCGGTTCGCCTGCGGGTGCTGGGCCGGGCCGGAGGGAGGCGGGCGAGGCCGCGGGGAGGAGAGGAAGGGCCGCGGAGGAGAGGCCGCGGGCGCTGGCTGCTGCGGCGGCCAGGCCCAGGCCGTGTTGCCACGAGCCGGTTTCGGCGAGCCAGCCGGGACCGTGCGGGCCAGGGACTTGCAGGATGCATGTGCGGGGCGGGAGCCAATGGCCCGTGCTGGGCGGGGCAGGCCAGTGGACCGCCTTTGCCAGGCTGCGCCTTTGCCCGGGGGATGCTCCGGGAGCGGGGCGGATCGGCTTCTTCCTGGGCTCCTCCCGCTGCCCCGGCGCCTCGGCCACGTCTGAAAGCGGCTCATTGTCTCTGTCGGCAGCTCGGAGCCGCGGCGGTGGCGGGAGGCGGCGACAAGGTATGGGCAGGCTGATGCGTGTGGGGATGGGGTTAATCCACAGGATTGGCAGTCCCCTTCAGACCTTTTTTTTCCCGGTCTTAAACAACGGTACTTTAAAGGAGATGTTTTTGAACGGGTCACGCACGCCCCTGCTTGTGGCGGCGGAGTAGCGGTAATACCAGTTGCGGCGGAGCCGATGTCGCACCGACAGAGGTGAAGCTGTCGAAAATCAAGCTGTTTTTTTCAGGTTTGGGTTTTTTTCCCCTCTTTTTTTTTTTTTTTTATCTCCCTC